CTGATTTTACTTTGCAGGATAGAAGAGCAGCAAATCTCGGACTGTCATCATTATTATTGTGTCAATTATTGCTTCTTTGGTACTTGTAATGTTCATGGGCATTTGTCTAATAGTACGGAAGGCAAAGAAAAAGCTTCAAGGTAATTTAATTCCAGGTACGTACTGTAACAAAATAAACAGTAACATTAATTCATCTCAATTTGCTTCAAGTGGGAAGCCTAGTACTGTTATGTCATCTAGATCTAATTTTGTTACATACAAAATTTTTGTTAAAATTTTACCACAGGCGAAGACGCGGACGAAATTGGAAGTGCAGAATCCTTGCAATTCAATTTTGACACCATTAGAGTTGCCATAGAAGACTTTTCAGGATCGAAGAGCAGCAAATCTCAGACTGTCATCATTATTATTGTGTCAATTATTGCTTCTTTGGTACTTGTAATGTTCATGGGCATTTGTCTAAGAGTACGGAAGGCAAAGAAAAAGCTTCAAGGTAATTTAATTCCAGGCACGTACTGTAACAAAATAAACAGTAACATTAATTCATCTCAATTTGCTTCAAGTGGGAAGCCTAGTACTGTTATGTCATCTAGATCTAATTTTGTTACATACAAAATTTTTGTTAAAATTTTACCAAATGCGAAGACGCGGACGAAATTGGAAGTGCAGAATCCTTGCAATTCAATTTTGACACCATTAGAGTTGCCACAGAAGACTTTTCTGAAGCCAATAAACTAGGACAAGGGGGATTTGGTTCTGTTTACAAGGTAATATAGAACACATCTATTGAAGATAAGATTCTCACATCATACCTTACGAAATAAAATAAAATACAATATATTGTGAAAAAACCTAACCTGCCAATCTTAATAACATCATGATATATATGGGCAACATCACCAGTTTCATGTATATATTCCTTGAATGCAACCTTTTTGTTTTGATACTCTTTCAGGGTAGGTTATTGAATGGAGAAGAGATAGCAGTGAAAAGGCTCTCCGTAAATTCTGGACAAGGAGATTTGGAGTTTAAAAATGAGGTCTTGTTAGTGGCAAAGCTTCAGCACCGAAACTTAGTTAGGCTCTTGGGTTTCTGCTCGGAAGGAGTTGAAAGGCTTCTTATTTATGAGTTTGTCCCTAATTTGTACAATTTTAGCTTTAACTTCAAAATTTTACCATAAAATCTCATTCCTGTAACATACAAGAAACATTGTAACCTTGGTTTGAATTGAACATGCAGATCCAATCAAGCGCGCACAATTGGATTGGGATAGGCGCTACAAAATCATAGTAGGCATTACTCGAGGGCTCATTTACCTTCATGAGGATTCGCGGCTTAGAATTATTCATTGTGATCTCAAAGCCATTAATATCTTGATAGATGAAGATATGACTCCCAAGATATCAGATTTTGGCATGGCAAAATTGTTTGAGGTTGATCAAACACAAGGCAATACCAGTCAAATTGTGGGGACCTAGTAAGTACTCGACAAGGCTACATGGCTTATATTATAATTGTGTTAATCTATATCAATAATCCAAAGTTCTCAACTAAGTTTGATCATAAAACCAACATATATTATTCTTGTTTCGATATGCAGTGGATATATGGCTCCAGAATATGCGATGTATGGGCACTTTTCTGTTAAGTCGGATGTCTATAGTTTTGGTGTCTTAGTTTTGGAGATAGTGAGCGGACAGAAAAATAATTCCTTTCGTCACGGCAAGAACGTGGAGGATCTTCTAAGCTACGTAAGAATTTAAACTATATGCATAATGCAACCAAGAAAAATAATTTATCTCTAACTATATTTCTACGAATTTCACAACGCAAGCATGGAAATGTTGGAGGGAAGGGACAACTTCAAATCTAATAGATCCCGCGTTGACGAACGGTTTAAGAAATGAAATCATGAGATGCATCCATATTGGGTTGCTATGTGTGCAAGAAAATATAGCTGATAGGCCAACCATGAATGCTATTGTTCTAATGCTTAACAGTTACTCAGTCACACTTCCAGTACCCTCACAACCATCATTTTCGGAGATAGTAACGTTGGATTTGACATGACTTTGGGATGAAAGAATAGTTAGGAGGTGATTACAACTAGGTCAGATCGATCCAAGAACAGCTTTGTCAAAGCACCAGAAAATGAGGTTCATTGATCACCGAAGTATATCCTAGATAGCTCTTTAAGATGGAAACTGCATTGTTTTTTAAATCATAATGTGCAATTTACCATTTGTTTTGTTCATTTTTCTTTTCAATGGTTTAGGTAATTGCAATAAGGCTTGTGATGTATAAGAGATAGACTAAGAGTTGTTTTGGGACCAGTCTACCAATCAAACGACGACTTTGATTAATTGGACTTGAATTTTCTCCCCTCTTATTTCTCTCCTTTCATTCCACTTTTTTAATCTAACTGTTCAAAAGAAATTATCTAACTGCATAGAACTTATTAGGATATAATAGTGTCAGGTGTTACATGTATAGCTTACCATGTGTCTGTGTATCATTGGTTAAGTCTTGAGTTAGTTATAGGTGTGTATTTATAGGACAAGTTAATGTATTGTATTGGATTGAATAGTGTGGTAATAATAATTCAGTTTACAAAACTCTCTCTACTTTCCCTCTCTACAGTTCACAGCTCTTACATTTTCTTACAGTTATCATGGTATCTTCGCCGATCAAGGCTCGCGCTGTTGATTGATGATCCTATTGCTTCCGCTCGTTTGATTCTTGGTGTTGTTTGATCGGAGTGTTGCCTTTGTTGCACTGTAGCAACGTATAATCGTAAGAGTCGGTGGAGTCGCTGGTGTTTGTCGGTGGTGATTGTCGATAAAGTCGGTGTCGTCGTCGTCGGAGTTCTTCTGAAACCCTAGTGTTTGGGGATTTATGGCGGTGTTGAGTCGTCAGAGTTCACGAAGGTGATATTCTTTTGATTATTTCCTGATTCTTGATCCCTTGACTTTTGATTCTTGTTTGTCTAAACCCTAATTTTTGGGAATTGTTGTTCACGATTTCTACTATATTCTGTGTTTCTGCGATTTGCTTATCTGTGTCATGATTGATCTGTTTGTATTTTCACAATGGTTACCTCTACTCAGTTAATGCTTACACAATTGCCTATTGCTTCTCTCATTCCAAGTGTGGGTAATATTGTTACTGTGAAGTTAGATGACTCTAACTATGTGAATTGGAATTTTCAAATGGAGTTGTTGTTAAATGCTAATGGAATTCGTGGTTTTGTTGATGGATCCATTCCGTGTCCGACCAAATTTGTTGATTTTGAATCTGAGGGGAAGGTTGATAATCAAGTGCCAGTAATTTCTGATGCGTATAAGGTGTGGAAAATTCATGATAAAACATTGATGACTCTTCTTACTGCTACTTTGTCCACTACTGCTTTATCTTGTGTGATTGGATGTCAGAGTTCTCAAGAAATGTGGCTTAGTCTTAGAGAACGGTTTGTAAACATGACCGGGACTAGTATAGTTCAAATGAAAATTGATTTGCAAAATATACAGAAAGGGTCTGAATCAATTGATGAGTATCTTCAAAGAATTAAGGATACCTGAGATCAACTTGTTGCTGTTGGGGTCTTCATATCTGATGAGGATATTGTGATTGTGGCTCTTCGAGGCCTACCTTCTGAGTATAACACCATCAAGTCTGTGACTTGTGGTAGTGAAACTCTTGTGTCCTTGAAAGAGTTGTGTTCACAGCTTCGAGCTGAGGAGTCCACTTTGCAAAAAGTTTCAAAGCAAGTTCCTTTGATGTCTACAATGCTAGCTCAATCTTCCAAATCTGGCACACATATGAGTACAATAAAATTGCTTGGTTGATTATTTGGACTAATTTATTGTGTTTGTGTGCGTAGGTTGGGAATGTGTACGTTCAGCTCAGTGAGGAAGAACAGGCTCAAGATGCGCTTCAGAATCTAACTGGGAGTTTCTATGCAAGTTAGTTTAGGGGTGGGCACTTAGAACCGAAAACCGAAACCGAAACACGAACCAAATAGAACCCACCAAATAGTTTGGTTTTGCGGTTTTGGAATGGTTTCGGTTTTGAAACCGAACCGCAACATAGAAAACGGTTCGGTTTCGGTTTTGACTTTTGAAAACCACACCGAAACCGAACCGCACCACAAATATTAATGAACATTTAATTAAATGTCCATATTAAATTTCATGTTTTAATTGGTTTTTTGTTAGAATTCACGCACTTAGTATGGACACAACCACACTAGAATATCATCATTCATCACTTTCTTTCGTTCATTAACTTGAAGGACCTTTGTTATTTTATACCATCACACACACACACACACACACATATATGTACAAGGGTGGACTAATCTTATTATCAAGAGTCGAACAATGATCTAATGAAGTCCACTCATTTGAAGCATGATATAACATATTCTAGTATGAAAGTTTCGCTCATGTTTAATGAATTCAAAGTTATTCAACTTGTTTTATGTTATACCTTGTACGGGACATCCTTTTGTTGCACAAACATATTTTAACATCACAACTGCATGCAACATGCTAATTGTTTATATAACAAATGTCTTTTTCCTATTGCTACTGGGAAATGCTTGTTAATATGTAAAATTGCAAATTGTACATTTTTTCTTAAAAACCAAACCGAAACTGTTTGAAACCGCATTGAACCGAACCAAACGATTTGGTTTCATTTCAATTTTAGCTTCCAAACCGTAAAAAATTTTGGTTTCGATTTTGGTTTCACTCAAAACCGTACTGAACCAAACTGTGCCCACTCCTAGATTAGTTCCCCTTATTTTTCTTATCTTGATATGTTACGAACAACACGATCAATAGTCGTGATGGTACGGTGGTTTTATCGTCACTATAACATGTTTCACCGTAGTCACCTTCCTGTCTTTTGATTGATTCGTGATTGTAGATGCTTGTGTCTTTTCTAAAATTGATGAGGTATTTCAAAAGTTTGACATTCGATTTCATCTTATTTACAACAATGCCAGCTAGATAGGGCTGGGTGGGTTGGGAGGGTAATTGTTAAAAGTTAGGAGGGTAATTTTGTCCGTGGGGTTTGAGACGGGTTGGAATGGGTTGGGTGGCTTAGCGCAAACAGAGGGAGAGAGACGGAGGAGTAGGGGTTGCAAAATGGGGTTAGGGTTGATTTTGGTTCCTGAAATCGTGGGCTGGTGTCGGTGGGTGTGAGATTTTGTGAAACGAAGCTCCATACACATAGAGAAGGAAGAGGTAGGTTCTGCATCTTCTAATTAAAATTAAAATTTCATATCTATCTTCTCTGTCGGGCCCTAAAGATTTCTATCAAATTTTGATCCGTTCGAGTCGCTGCAGACAACCCGACTTCACTCTTGTCTCCGTTGTCTTTCATTCTCGATCCACCGCTGCATTAATTTTTCGGCCGTATTGCAGGTACGATTTAGAATCAGAAGCATGCACAAAATCTCCATCGCCATGGTCAGATTCACCCCTCCATCTTCGCTGCTCTTCATAAATCGAGCTCAGCCATGCAAGTCAGATGCCAAACCTCCTGATCTTGGTGTCGACACACTCACAGGTAAAATTTTCTCACCTTATGCCTTTAACTTCATCTCCGATCATAGTAGATTAGGGAAAAATAGAAGATGACCGTCTCATGTATGTATTCTCTATGTAGAAGCCTCAAGATCGAAGACGACGGTGTTTAGGCGTGAAAGAAGGCACCCCAGAGTTCAGATCTGATGTTTAAAAATACGGCGGAGGACACGAAGTTCTCAAATCCAAGATGAAAAGGTATAATCCACGCCTTTGTAACTATTTGTGTCCTTGATATAATTTTGCCACTAGTTTTTTTTTTTTTTTTATATTTTTTTTATGGCAAGTAGAAATCTTAGAAGTTAAAGAAACGAGCGATAATGTCATCCATCACCCAACTGCGGTTGCATTTGGATTTTATACAAATACATTCTTGGTCAAACAAAATGGGAAAAAATGGTTGTATCAACATCACCTCTTTAGTTCTACGAGAGGAACTAAACAAAACATTTTTCCTGAATCCCATAAGTCTGCAAGAAGCAAAACAAGCTAAGAGTCATTTATCCAATATAAACACATGGAACTCTGTTCGAATTCTTACTCTTATTCTCTCTAATTTTTTGCTGTTTAGTTTGGACTCCCATCGCAGCATCATCATTTGCTCTTGCAGCCGCTTTTGATGCAAAGGTTCTCAGCCATGACATTTGAATCAAAATTCTGGTATGCCGCTTGACCTTTGATGCGGTGCTTCCCCGTACTTTCCATTTGAGTGATTGTTATTTTTGTTCTCTGTAGTTTTTAGGTTTATGGATAAAATATCTGAGGCCTCTTTATTCTTCGATATGATTCCAATTTGGCACTGTATTATTTCTTTAAGAACATTTCAAATGAGTCTATTTGTTTCTGAGATGTATGTTGTAAAATTCTCCTCTTTTTATGGCTTCCTACTTTAGGGCTTATTAACTTTAGAATTTGTACCATAGCGATTAATTGTTTTTACTTTTCTGAAAAATAGAAGTCTTCTTGGTTTTGCACTTGAATTCTTCTTAGTCAGTCATTTTTATCTGATGCGAAGACTTTTGTGTTTCAATCATTGTTTCAGTTTATCAGCCGAAATGAATGACTTCTTTGTTATAAAAACCCTCATGCTGCTGAAGCACTTTTACTACTTTTTGAGGTTTATGTAAATTTTCAAAGAAATCGCATGATACCAATAAATCAGAGGTTTAAACATAGTAAATCTTGCAAGCAATGTGTTGGAAGAGTTTTGTGCTTCATAGAACAGTTTTGTTCTTAAGGGCTGTCAAAATTTGGAGTGTTGGTGGGATATTCAATTGTTGGTAGGTACTGGTGAAAGGATCAGATTTTGGTAGGATTTGTTGTTGGGAATCACATCTTTGCAATCACATTTTTTGTTTTTCCCATGAACTAGGACATAAATGAAGAGAACCTTCAAGACTTAAACTGCTGCCATCTTTCTGATGTGAATTTGAAAAGATTCGAGTACAAAATTGAACTAGCCAAATAGAAAGTAAAGTGAAGGAGCATGAAAGTTACCTATTAAGTGAATTTGAATAATTTTTTGGGAAAAAGTATAATTTTTAAATCCCAAGTTACCTGCTCTTCTACTTATGCTACAAGTACAAGGAATCATGACTCAATTTTGATTCACTGTGCAGGTGCATTTTGGGTGCGTTTGATACGCAGACGGGACGGAACGGGACGGGACGGAACGAAGGTGTAATTTTTGAAAAAGACATGGGGTATATTTGTCTTAAAATGGTAAAACATTGCGTTCCGCAAACGTGTAACAAACCCGTTCCGGGGGGGGAGGTGGAACGCAAAAACACTCAAAATCTGTTCCGTGGAACAGCCCGTTCCACCCATTTTTGGCGTACCAAACGCGGGACGGAACGCCTCGTCCCGTTCCGTCCCGTCCCGTCCCACGTACCAAACGCACCCTTTAGCCACACACTGACAGCTACTGCTGCACTTTAGGTACAATTAAACAACCATCATTCTCCAATTCATGTGAAATACTCGTACATTGTATATAGTTGGGACTTTAAAAAATCCGCCATTTTTTTAAGATAGGCTTTTAATGTAAATTCAATAGAATGTAGATCCAACTGAAAGACGTAATTTACTATGTCGATTCAGCTGCTTTGATTGGTTTCTGAATTATTTAAAAATTGGTGTGTTAAACTATGATTACGAATTCAAAACCCGCAATGGAGCTTGGGCATCTTTGCTAGTATCAACTATAGTAAAGAGTAGGGTGTGCAGCAATATCAATTATTGTAACTTTTCTTGCTCATCGTAATAGCTACCATGTATTTTCCGATTACAATCAATGTAAGCCGAGACGAAAGGAACTAAGAAACAGTCAGTCACAAATCGACAATTTAATTCTGACCATAAAGTAGAAAGGTATAACCACCGAAACGAGTAAATGATTGTCAGAATTGCGTATTATAATTGATTTACCTTGTTGACCGAGAGATTGCGTGCACCGAGAAGCAAAGAGAAGTTGGCCCAGCCAGAGCCAACCACTCCTGCAATCTGTGGTTTACTTTATTTCAATGGTTGAATAGTGTAAGTCTCGGAAGAAGCTTCCTTAAATATTTAATTTAGCACTCCCGTCTATGTCAGCATCTTCAATTATAATAGAGTGAAACCTCGCTGATGAAAGAATACCTACAAAGATGTAATATAAAATAGACACTTGCTTATACAATGATATCATTATAGCGGTATTTTAAATTAATCACGTATTATTTGATTTAAAGTTATTATGCATTTTAAATTTCAACTTATCAATATAAGAGTGTTATTGGCTTGAGACCCCCACAACGACATCCTTTCTTCATAATAGTTGCATAGGCTTGATGCGTGAAAAAGTTGCGCTTAAACATGCACGTGTAGAGGAATGGTAGCAAGTACCAATACTGTATCGTAGCTAGAGCTACTATTAAAAGTCTGGTCTGTGTTAAAAAAAAAAGAAAAAAAAGTCTGGTCTTCCCACCACCGCGTCTTGTGTAAAGTGAGGTATTCATTGACTTCGTTCTTCATATATAGACGTGTAGCAAGTTTTCCATCAGAACTATAATCCTCTTTTACAAACCAATTTTAGCAAAAATATCAAATAATGCCAGCAATGGATTCCTCAAGATTTCTATTCTGCCTCTTTCCCATTCTGTTTCTCATGATTAATCAAGCCCTTGGTCAAAATTGCATAGACGGAAAAGGAAACTATACCACCAATAGTACCTATCAGACAAACCTCAACCGCCTCCTCTCCTCCCTGCCCTCCGACGAAAACGGCAACGGGTATGGCTTTTATAATGCATCCTATCGCCTAAACTCGTCGAACGAGCACATTTATGCAATCGGGCTTTGTAGAGGAGATGTCACGGTGGGAGATTGTCGTAGCTGCCTAAATAATTCCCGATATGATCTCCTTCAGCGTTGTCCTAATCAGAAGGAAGCATTTGGATCGTATGAGAAATGCAATTTACGCTACTCAAACCGCTCCATCTATGGCGTCATGGAAACTGAGCCTTCGCGGCCTTCGCCGTATTACTGGAACATAAATAACATATCGTCGTCCGAGCTGGATGGATTCAACCAAGAGCTGGAGAAGCTACTGGACAGCATAAGAAGGGAAGCTGCAGCTGGCGGTTCTCTTCGGAAATTTGCATTCGGAAACACAAGTGCCCCAACTTTCCAAACAATATTTGCACTAGCGCAATGCACGCCAGACATATCAGAGCAAAATTGCAGTGATTGCTTAGTTGGGGCTTTTGCATATAGCTCCAATTTTTACGGGAAAGTAGGTGGGGGAGTTAATAAACCTAGCTGTTACTTTAGATTCGATCTTTACCCCTTCTATGACCCTACAACTGTCAAACAACTGCCATCTCCGCCACCAATACATTCTCCACCACCATCAACCAATACCACAAACACTTCACAAGGTACGCACGCATAACGTATATGTATGTACACTCCATTACATACGTTGATGACTATATTTGCTTGACACTGATCTCAAAATTTAATTGATCAATGGTAACTCCTCTCTCTGATAGATCAATCACTTAAACATGTTATTCAGAATCTCATGTGATTAGAGAAGATATATTTATGATTTTACTTTGCAGGATTGAAGAACGGCAAATCTCGGACTGTCATCATTATTGTTGTGCCAATTATTGCTTCTTTGGTACTAGCAATGTTCATGGGCATTTGTCTAAGAGTACGGAATGCAAAGAAAATGTTTCAAAGTAATTTAATTCCAGGTACGTATTGTAACAAAATAGACACAGTAACATTAATTTAACTCAATTTTCTTCAAGTGGGAAGCCTAGTACTGTTACGTCATCTAGATGTAATTATGTTACATATCAATATTTTGTTAAAATTGTACCGCAGGCGAAGACATGGACGAAATTGGAAGTGCAGAATCCTTGCAATTCAATTTTGACACCATTAGAATTGCCGCAGATGACTTTTCTGAAGCCAATAAACTAGGACAAGGAGGATTTGGTTCTGTTTACAAGGTAATATATAAAACATCCATTGAAGGTAAGATTCTCACATCATACCTTACGAAATAAAATACAATATATATAGTGATTGTTCCACTATTGATCACCGAGGCCGGCTTTATTGTGAAAAGAGTAAATTGTAGCAATGGTCCATGAACTTTACTCAAATTGGAGCAATAGTCCCTCAACTAAAAATTCATTACCATTGGTCCCTCAACTTATTAAAATGTGTAGCTATAGTCATTTTCATTAATTTCTCAAAATTTTGTCAAAATATGTTATGTTGGAATAACCATTTATTTAATTAGGGTCCATCAACTCATCAAAGTGTGTAATTATGGTCATTTTCGTCAACTACGTAAAAAATTTTGTCAAAACGAGTTATGTTTGAAGGACCATAGTTACAATTGGGATAAAATTAAGGGACCATTTCTCCAGTTGAATTAAAATTAAGGGACCAAAGGTAATAGATTTTTAGTTGAGGGACCATAGCTGCACGTTTTAATGAGTTGAAGGACCAATGATAATGGATTTTTAGTTGAATGACCATTGCTCCAATTTGAGTAAAGTTCAGGGACCATAACTACAATTTACTCTTGTGAAAAAACCTGACCTGCCAAATAAGTTCTCCGAATATAACAAGTTAGGCGAAGGTGGATTCGGTGCAGTTTTCAAGGTAATAACCCAACAAATATATAATGCATTAGTTCATGAGTCATTCTATTAATCCAACATTGTATTGTATATATAAATTGCTTAGATCACAACAAAATTGTTGGATAAACTAAAGTACCTATATACCTTATCACAGGGAATGCTTATTAGTGGACAAGAAATAGCAGTAAAGAGGTTGTCAAAAAGCTCCGGACAAGGTGTACAAGAATTTAAGAACGAGGTTGTATTGGTAGCCAAGCTTCAACACAGAAATCTTGTCAGGCTATTAGGATTTTGCTTGGAAGGAGAAGAAACCATACTTGTTTATGAATATGTGCCCAACAAAAGCCTTGATTATTTTTTATTTGGTATGTGAACATCATTTGATGAATATACATATATGTTTGTGTCAGTAAATATAATTCTTTGTCGTTCCTAACTTCAAAAAGTACTACTTGAACTTGATAAATTTGCAGAACATAAAAAACGAGAACAACTAGATTGGTTGAGCCGCACCATGATAATTGGAGGAATTGCTCGAGGAATTTTGTATCTTCATGAAGATTCGAGGCTTAGAGTTATACATCGTGATTTGAAAGCTAGCAACATTTTATTAGATAGCAACATGAATCCGAAAATATCAGATTTTGGGATGGCTAGAATGTTTGGAATTGATGATCAAACTGAAGGAAATACCAAAAGAATTGTTGGTACTTAGTAAGTTTCAACTTATACAAATACCTCTATCTAATATTAGTAATCTTAAGTTCCAATTATTTGTTTCAACTTATGTACTTAACTCTATCTTTAAATAGACAACGGAAAAGTATATATTTGTTATTTAAACTCTAATATATGTCAACCATTTCTGTCCTGTAAAGTGGTTACATGGTTCCAGAATATGCTATGGAAGGGTTGTATTCAGTAAAATCGGATGTCTTCAGCTTCGGAGTACTTCTGCTTGAGATCATAACGGGGAGAAGGAACTTTTTAGGCTTTCATCGCACAAATTGTAAACCTACTCTTATAGGTTATGTAAGTTTTTTACTTGAAATACTTATTCAAAATATTCGTGAGCTAATTAATGTAGCTATTAAAACTGGAGTAGTACATACATCCCTGAGAGATATTGATTGCAGGCTTGGCAATTATGGAATGAAACGAAAGGGTTGGAGTTGATGGATCCCTTGTTAAAAGATTCCTGCAGTCCAAATGAATTTTTGAGGTACATCCACATTGGACTATTGTGTGTTCAAGAAGATGCAAACAACAGGCCGACCATGTCCTCAGTTGTTCTTATGTTAAAAAGTGAAACTATTATTCTTCCCAGACCTGAGAAACCAGCCTTCTTTACAGGAGGATATGTTGACCACCATGATCAAGTGCGTCCTCAAGATTGCTCAGGCAATGGTTTGACCATTTCTATCGATGTTCCTCGTTGAGACCGATGACAATAAGGTTAATATTTTGGAAGTTCTTCCGTTAAAGGCTCTTGAGCTGCATTTAGAGACAATCCTATAATCTTTACAGTTTTTCTTTCACCTTGTCATTTGTATAGGGTAAATGTTAATTACCATGCGCTCCCTAATAATCTCGAATCTACATAATTTGTTATTACGCATCCTGTATATGACTAGCAGTATGACTTGAGTAGTGTTATTTTACATACTTAATATGTTTTGAGTTAATTTGAATAGTGGTCCATAACTTGTTACAATCTGTAACATTATTTATTTTTGGTAATCACGTTAGAATAATTCCTTTTATATTTTCCTCTTTAAACCCTTAATTTTGGAAGGTATTATAAAACAATGTTTACTCAAAAGAACCATTACTATACCTTATGACCTGTTTAGGGACCGATGCTCAAATTTTCTCATATCTTTCAGTAGGAGTGTTATTTTTCATGTGATCTAACTATACCTCAATTTGGTGTGATTTTCTTCTCAAATTAAAAAATCTATAAATTCGTGTCATATATATGCAGATAATTACTCAAGGAAATTTCAATTTTCTCGCAAGATTGTGAACTGAGTTTGATAACCAATTTGATCCATGAAACAGTGAGGAATTTAAGGGCATGTTTGGTATCCTATTTGAATTTTTTTATCATTTCTCAAAACATTTATTAAGAACATTTCTTGAAAACAATTTTCTTTAAGACTCAAAAACTTAATTGGTTGGCGATTTAAAAATTTTAAATTTTACAACTTAAACTAGACAAAGAGATCTAAAAAGAGGGGGGTCATAGGAGAGGGAGAAAGAGAAGAGAGAAGGAAAGAAAATAAGAGATGATTGAAGGAGAGAAGAAGAGGAGTGAGAGAAATAACCGAGAGAATGAAGAGAGCAAATTGGAGGAGACACAAAAAGGAAAAAAAAATAAATAAATAAAATAAAAGAGGAAAGAGAAAGAAGAAAAGAGAGAGATAGATTTGGAGTGAGAGAGAGCAAGCGGAAATGAAAGAAATGAGTGAGTTTAAATTTAAAAACTTTAAAAACTCACTTTTTATGGTTTTAGAGAATAGACTATATTTTTTAGTTAGTCTTGAGTTCAATTTTTTAAAATAGTCCTACCAAACAATTTTTTAAGGTCTAAAACTTGAAAATTGTTTTTAAGTTTAAAAAATTGGATTCAAGTAGAGTACCAAAGAAGCCCTAAATTTTTACAACGAAAAATATCCATGACGACGATGTTTTAAGTGAGAAAATGTCTTCCCCTCCGGATCCATTATGTGGGGATTCTAAGGATCCCTACATCCCAATCATTCATCGTATATCGTGCGGCCAGTTTTCGTAAGGTACTATTTGTGATTAACTTAAAATAATAAAAATAAAATAATTTCTGACCGCACGATTCACGATGTACGGATGAGATGTGGGGATTCCTAAGATCCCCACATAATGGATCCGGAGGGGATCCATGTTCTTTTATAAAAACCATGGTATTAAATATCGGTAATATCGGAAATATCGGTAGTCTGAAAACACGGAAATATCGATGGAAATATCGGTAAAATATCGATATCGATAAAAATTACATGGAAACCACGGAAATTGTAAGAAAAACTTGGAAATTTTTATTGAAACTTTGCAGGATGTTTATTTAGTCAATTATCTATTAGTTTATCACAAAAAATTGGAAGGAAATGCATTGCATGATGGATTTAACATTATCAAGTTGATTATATAGCGAGCTGACAAACATTGTGAGTGTAGAAAATATGTAGTAATTAATGAAAGAAGTCTAAACACACCATAATCATTTATATAATGAATTAGTACAATATTTTACACTTTAGTACCACATAGAGTTCCTATGAGGTTCAATTTTTTCACTATCTTCATCATCTCTATGTGTAGAGTGAGTGTCTTGTCAAAATTATTTGGAGATGCTTTTGAATTATTTATATGTTTTTTTATTTGATTTTGAATTATTTGGATTGGATCATTGCATTGGATTCTTTTTTTTTTCTCACACCACCACACATCACACGCAGAAGAGAGAGTCAGTGAGTCAGTGTGTCACACAGACAAACCCCCCCCCCCCAAAATCCAAAACCACGCACGCCCACAGAGTCTCACTCTGGATCCTTCTCTCTCTAGAACTTCTGTCTTTCTCTTCTCTCCCTTCCTTCTCTCTAGAACTTCTGAGCTTCTCCCTTCTCCAGTTCTTCGTCTTCTCCTCCTGCTCCCTGCTCCTCTCGCCGCTGATATGCAGGACCCTCCCGTCCTCCACCTCCACTTTCACCTCCTCCTTTTTGATCCCCGGGAGGTCCGCCTTGAAGATGTGGGCCTCCGGGGTCTCCTTCCAGTCGATGCGCGTGTTGGCGATGACGGTTGTTTCCCGGGCCTCCGGGGTCTTCTTCTCTGAGGCCTGACCTCTCTTCTCCCCCTTCTCCATTCGACCCACACACACACAGATCTCCCCCTTCTCCCACTCTCTCGATCCTTCGCCCACTCTCTCGATCCTTCGCTGCCGTTGATCGTGGCTCTGGCGAAGTCGGACTTGGCTCAGTCGTCTCTGGTGGTGCGCCGCTGAGAAAGGAGTTGGCCCAGTCATCGATTTTTCAGGTGAGATTCCATTGAAACCCTAAGCCCTAAACCGACATCATATGTTGAATCGTTGATGCATGCGTGAAATTTGAAGCATATATGTGAAATTGAAGTTAAAATTCGTGTTTTTGCAAGGTTTTTGGGACGAAATGGGCTCGGGAACAGCCACACCATCTCCGGCGTTCGAAATCGGAGTCCGATTGCACCGTTCAACGAAATATCTCGATATTTCCAAAATATCGCGATATTATCGATATTATCGATAATATCGCGATATTTGGACGAAAACCACACAGAAACCTATTTAAATATCCATTACCCGAAAAATCGATATTATCGGCGATATTTCGCCGATAATATCGATATTTAAATCTGTGATAAAAACTATATACCGAGAAGCTGGAAGTAAGAATCCCATGATAATGTTACAATCACACCTTGTATATATTTGATTAATTATACAAACTTTAATTAAGGGAATTGTTATTAGCACTCCTAAAACCTCATTTAACACTCCAAACTTTCAATAATTAGAAAGAAAAATATACTTGTGAAGAGTATATAATGAGATTTTTTTAGTGTTAATAACAGTTCCCTTAATTAATACTAGGATAAATAGTAAAAAGGATTCTAATAACTAGTATGCCTTCAATAGCTCAGCTCAGCTATATCTAACTCCCTCTCTCTCTCTATTCAGCTACAAGAAGAGAAAGTTGAGGTTTCATCATAAAATCAATTGGTAAAATGAAGAGTAGTTTAACCTCTTATAAGCCCATGGAATTCCCTCCTCCTATTAAAATGAGACTTATTCTCAACACGTCCCCTCACGTGTGATAAATTTTCAAGCCTAACACGTGGATAATACAATAGGGTGACGCAGAGCGCGTGTTACCGTTTGGCTTCACACGTGGGACAACCTATTGGAATAAGTTAATATTTAGTAGAAAAGAGAATGTAAATATTTTGTAATTACTAGAGTCTTGTTTTAGGAGAGGTATTATGTCCTTTATTTGTTGCCTTTCTTGTAACTAGGGTTGTACATATCCTTTAATTGAGAATTATGGAATACACGGAAATTATCCCGTAAAATTCTATTTGGTATCAGAGCCAAGGCTGCCGTAACCCTAGTTTTTCCGCTGTGCTCAATCAACTGTTTTTTCTGCAATTCTTTTCGCAGAGATCAGTCACTGTGCGTGTGTGTTGTTGCTGTGTGTGCAACCGTGTGTGAATGGTATTGATGTGCTTGTGGTTTTTAACAGTGTACAATTGTTGTGCAATTGTTAGCATACAATTGCTTTGCATCAATTGTCAAAGTACCTTTTCCTTTATCCCGTGGGTAGTAAACAATTTGGCTTGCTATCCAATTTGTTGCAGTGAGTATAACTATAATTCTTGTGCCGAGCTGCACTTGAATTGTTGTCCAATATCGTGCCCTTGTTCCTGTGCGTGTTAGTACTATTATTTCAGATTATGTCTGCAAGTTCTGCAATTTTTTCTCTTTTGAAAAAAAAAAAAGGATTTGTGGGTTCTTGCTACTGCTTGCAATGTGTGGATTGTTCTCTTGTACCGTGGGCTACAGTTTGTGCTAGTGATTTCTGTCCGTGGATCAGCGTGTCTACAGCTGCAAGTGTGTAGTTTGTTGCGTATAAGTATTGTGCGTACTTGTTGTTTTGTGCAGTGTGTAGAGACTGTTGTGCAGTTGTTATTACAATGACCAATACCGGTTGGATTTTAGATTCCGGTGCAACGGATCATATGACGTATGATAGAACTTTGTTTCAGTCCATGAAAGATTCTCATAAAAAGTGTGTGGCAACTGCCAATGGTACTACTGCTGCCATTGTTGGAGCGGGAACAGTGTCTCTTACACCCTCTCTTCCGTTACATAATTGTTTATTGGTTCCGTCATTGTCCCATCACTTATTGTATGTACCTCAAGTCACTGAACAATTGGATTGTGTTGTAGTAATGTATCCTTCATTTTGCTTGCTTCAGGATATTCAAACAAAGGAGATCATTGGGCGTGGCACTAAGAGAGAGGGACTATATTATGTGGATGACGTGGTTCCTGGAAGAGCTCATTTGGTTCATTCGTCACGTAATAGGAATCTACAGAAGGTATTGTTATTGCATCGTCGTTTGGGGCATGCATCGTTTGGTTATTTGAAACATATAGTACCTGATTTGTTCAGTGGTATTGAAAACTCAGAATTGAAATGTGAAGTATGTATTTTAGCCAAAAGTCATCGTGCTTCATTCCCTCCAAGTATGAATAGAAGATCTTCTCCATTTGCACTAGTACACTCTGATGTGTGGGGGCCTTCCCCTGTTAGTACTACTTCGGGAATTAGATGGTTTGTTACTTTCATGGATGATTGCACTCGTATGATGTGGTTGTATATGTTGAAAAATAAAAGTGAGGTTTGTGATGTGTTTCGTCTGTTTCAACAGATGGTTAAAACTCAGTATTCCATTGATATTAAAGTTTTGTGTTCTGACAACGGTGAAGAGTACATAGCTTCTGAGTTATCCCGGTTTCTACAAGATCGTGGAATTATTCATCAAACTACATGTCCGCATACTCCACAACAAAATGGGGTTGATGAGAGAAAGAATCGTCATATCTTGGAAACTGCTCGTGCCCTGCTTATTGGTGCGTCTGTGCCTAAACGTTTTTGGCCTGAAGCCGTTACCTATGCTGTGTATGTGATTA